GTGATCGTGATCGTCGGGCGGGAATTGGGTGTTGTGAGTGTGTGTGTATATGTAGGAGAATTGGTGATGAGTAAAATAAGGTGACGAGATTTATAAGTTCTTAGGACAAGACTCAAAAGTTACTGAGGGGGGGAAACAACGATTTATTAGGTATTTAATTCTCATTAGTTAAGCTGCCTTCCGCTAATAAACTTAGCTAACCTAGCAAAGGCCGATCTAGGAAAGTGGGATGCGAACACAATCAACCCGTCTCCAGTGAGTTGGCAGGAGCATCCCCAGCCAATCAGAGTAAAGCATGGTTTCCTAAAGGAAAATAGCTTTGCGGGGAACATTTGGTATAACATCACTCACTTATCACTTACAACGTTGTATGAAGAAAATTACCTGAGGTACTGAAGGGTACCTGGGTTAGGTAAGTAATCACATGACATGGTGTGACACGACATGAGCACCTTAGGCATATATAAATGGCCCTCGGGGTTGTCACTGAATTCTCTAATCTACTCATATCTTATATGGTCTTCTATCTCAGCCTCATACTGCATTGACCATTCTTGTCTTTTCTTCTCTTTCTTTCTTCTCTTGATATAGACCGAATTGTTCTGAATCAGTTTCCCTAACCTAGCAAATCTGTATTCTCCTACTTAACAGCCAGAAAACGTGGATATCCATCCTCAAAGGGCATATATATATATGTGCAATTGCCATTGCACTACACTATACGCCGATATGAAGTAACATCACCAATCCGGCAAGTCGTATATCGTATAGATATATTGCAGATTATAGACCATCCGCACCCTTGGTATAGCAAGGAGGAGGAACACCACCTTCCATGGCACGGCGAAGGATGCGATCGATAGCCTCCAGCTCCCGATGGGTGACCTCCGCGAGGGTCATGCGATCAAAAGCAGGACCCGAGGGGAAGTCGACCTCAGTCCAAAGATAGCCAAAATACCCGTTGGTACTAGCAGACTGGTTCTGCACTGCAGGACATAGAGTTAGTAGGAAGGTAGTTACTGTATCGAAGAATGAAAGAAAAAAGAAGCTTTTTAACTCGTGGGACTCGATAAGACGGGCATATTTTACTCACAGGCAATCTTCTGGGTGATATTCAGGCCATTAACCGTGCGGTTTGTTTCCTCACGGATGATAGCGATATAGAACTGTAGGGACCGTCTTGTTAACCAATTGATTTAGCAGCAGACGGTGGGGGAGGATGGTTACCTCAAGAACATCCAAAGGAACACCGGGCTTAGGGCCCAGCGTATAAAGGTGACTCCAATAGCTGGCGAATCGAGGCTGGTTGAAGTCGCGGGCCTTGGACTCATCCATCTGGGCCAGCAAGGCAATATTGTCCTTCTGCTGGACGGTAAAACCACAACAAAGCATCGCCGCATTGACGAGGCGGTTCAGAAGCTGTGGTGTCAAGCGCTCGTGACGTGGGAATCGATCAACCGTGTTGGTGAGAATGGCAATCATCTTGCAACAAGTTGCATAGACGGCGTGGCTCTCCTTAACCGTGATATGCTGCGCCATATACCAGGGGATCTTCTTGAGGGTGCTAATCATGCACTCGTAGGGTCTCTCTGGACAGTCCTGCGAGTACGACGATTGGGCCTGAATTGTTAGCTCGAGATCGAAGGAACTCGTCCCACTGCCTCGCCCGCCCTTGCGACTTACACGCTGTGGACATTCAACGTGCTTGCATAGCATGGTCATCTCCTCCTCGGTGAAGAAAGACCTGAAGTTCTCCCAGGGGAACTGCGATCCCTTCTGGATTTCGGCGCGCGCGCCAATCCAGGTGACCCCATTGGCAATGGGGAACTAATATAAAACATATAGAGTCAGTGGCTATTATATTGGATGTTGCTTTTTTTCCGGAGTCGAAGCTTAGACGCTCAACCGGGATAGGGTAGTTTTTTAACTCCTGAAACACAACAAAAAAAGAAAGGAGGGGAGAGCTGTGTTATCAAATGGCTCCAAGAATCACTTACTAGGGCTTTCATAAGTTGAGCCTGGCTTGATAGCTCGATCTCAACAAGCCGGTTGCTAATGCGTGCCGGGCGACCAAGGTTAGCGTTGCTCTGGAACTTCTCTACGACCCCCACGGCATCCTCTAGAGTGTTGAACTCGACAAAAGCGTCCATAGTCTTGCTCGAGACACGTTCCATAATGATATGTACCGGCTCGAGGGTGTCGTTCAGGATTCTGGCGTTACGGCCAACCAGGGCCATGACTTCGGCTCGCGTAGTGCCAAAGGGAATCTATGCCAAGTTAGTCATTCTCTCTCTCTCTCTATCTTTTTCATATATAGGTGGACAGGGGTGAACTTGCGTTCTTGATTCGGATAACACCCCACTCAGCAGGGCTAGCGTTCTCGTAGATAACCATGAATGGGAAAAAGCACGGGTTGAGAAGATCCTGGAGTTTCGGACCCGTCTTGCCCACAAGTGCGTTGAGCATGGGGGACCGCTCGCTCTTCACCTCCTCAGTCGGGGGATCGATTTTCATCGGAGGCATAGGCTTGAGAGGGGGTGTCTTAGACGCAATGTAGGGCATAACTGCGCCGCCATCGTTCTGGCCCACGCGGATGTTGCGAGGGCCTATGATGTTGCCATCAGAGGCACTGTTCGGAAGACCCGCACGGTAGGCCGGGTGTCCATTATCCGCCGCATAGACTTGGGCGATCGGTTCGGGTTTCTGGAAGTTCTGGAAGTTCTGTGTGACCTCCGGCAGGACGCCGTAACTTCGTGTGGATGGAAGACCTGGGAATTGCTGGAAGTGACCACGTTGGCCAATATCGAGTTGAACGATGGAATCGATTCCACGAGATGGAAGAGGCGCAGGGGCAAGGGCAGGTGCATGTGCAGGCATGGTGTCGCCAACACCAACTTGGCCCTGGGTAGTAGTTGCAGTGTCGCGACGCTGCTTGTGGTACAGGTTCATCAGTCTGTCCGAAAGACGCTCCTGCGAGACAAAGGCGGCCCCATCAGAAGACTCCTGCTTGCCGTTCTTGCCCTCATTGAGGTGGGGTTGAGGCTTTGGCGGGTTAGCGATGGGGAGATTTGTGTGCATAGGAGCGGGAGAAGGGGTGCCGGAGAGGATGCTCGCCGGCACAAAGGGCTTGGATGTCGCATTCAGCTTGGTGTTCTCCTTGGAAGGGGCAGCCGGAGCCTTAGACTCGGGTTTCAAGTTAGTGAAGCCAAGGGAAACACCGCCATCATCGTGGTCGGAAGAGAGCGGTGGTCGGGGCCAGCGTGATCCACTGGACATGTTAGCAGCGGCCTCCTCAGCAAAGCTGGAGGGCTGTCCGGGCTTAAGTGTGCTCATTCTGAATGACTGCAAAGTCAAGATCGTGTGTGCGAGTTGTCAGAACGTTCATGCTGTGGGCAGCATCGAGTTAGTCGTGTATCTACACAAGATGGAAACAAGTAGGGGCTAGGTATGGTTGTAGATGAATGGGCGAAGGTAGGTGGGATAGGAAGACCCTTCAATAGATCTGGTATTAGGAGGGAAGGGACTGGAAAAAAAAGTTATTCATACCTCAGTTGTTAGGTGGACTTGAAGGTCAGAGGAAGTTCTGTTCCGAGAAGACACTGGTACAGAGAGTACTTTGGAGGTGGGGGAATGTTTGGCGGGGAGAAGTTATGGGCACATGAATGGGAATGTTAAAAAGACAAAAGGAAAGATTCCTCTTGTGCAGACAAACATAAGGTAGTGTAATTAGTAGAAATGCATGTCCAAAAGGAGAATGCGGTTCAACAGAAAAGGAGATAGGGGAAACAATTATCAGCTAATTAGGAGGAGGAAGTACCCTACCATCTTTCTGAACTACGTTCTTGCCATAAACATCTTCAGATGAGCTGAGAGATAAATAACTACTTTGGCATCGGCAAAATAATTATTACTATTGTATGTAGGTAGATATATATATATATATGTATTACGTATCAGGATGAAAACTGTGTACCCTCGTTCCTTCAGTCCTCACCACATTTTCACGTGTAAGGAGGGAGGAAAGGACGGAGTAAGTAGGGTTTTTCTTTTTAACGAAATTCATGCTGAGTTTCTGATGTATTTTTACCTAAGGCTAAGAGATGTTTTCGAAGTTCACTCTACCAAAATTTCTACTTTGTCACAACGCTCGCCGAGCATGCCATTCTGGTATACCTTGCAGTTAGTTTCTAGCCTCTACAATTTAAGGAGGACCTCAACAGATATTTCTTTGAATACGTCAAGCAGAGAGATATGTAGGTAGGGCTACTTACTTAAATTGTGCCCTACCTCAACACCCACTTGTAAAAGGAAAACCCCCTTTCCCCCTAAATAGCAACAACAACTACTAGTATGTAACTTAAGCACCTAGGTACGTACTTGCCTATGAAAGTTCCAGTCAGCTAAGCTTAAGCCGCACAGAAACATCTAAGAACTACAGGTGCGCTTTAATGCTGAGCAGCCTTAGGTCGCTCCTACTTGGTGTAGAACGTTGACAATAAAAACCGTACTTAGGTACTACGCTTCGAGAGATAGGTAGGTACCTAGGTACTTACCTAATATGAGGTGAAGCCTTTGTCTCTCCTTGGGGATGCAGAAGTCTCATTAAGTACATAAGGTAAAAGTGCGTAGCAGTCATCTATCTCACGGCCCAACCTTACTTAAAGTCCCACAGGGAAAAATACAAGTGAATAAGTACTTACCTTTAAGTCATGAATGTTCTGAGATTTCCGAGTAACAGGTACATAAGGCGCCGGCTGTATAAGTACCTGCCCAAGACGGAAGTCATGAATTACCTAAGCCAGCCCCTCACTAGTAGTCGTCCGCTAAGGAATTGGACAAACCCGATGAATGGTGTATTCTCTAAGCCATATTCGATTAGGTAATACCTAACTTCAAGCAACCCACCACACTAGATTTTCTCAACACAGATATGGGAAAAATTACACACGATAAACCAAAGAAGAAATTGCAAAAATATAAGCTAAAAAAAGAGAAATACCTGGTCAATATGAGGTTCGAACTCATGACTTTCGCATTATTAGTACGACACTCTAACCAACTGAGTTAATCGACCGGTGACGACAGTGTCTCTAAATAGAAGCTGTATCCATTGTTGTCTTGAGAAGAGATTCATATTATTGTGTTGTTGTATATGTCGACGAGGTATGGAATTTGAAAAACCGCCGTAAAATATATAATGGCCTTGGTCAGCTCCGTGGATTCGTTTCCTCCATTGTTTTTACTGTTGCTCTCCTTGTAAGTCAGTCAAGGATATGTATGATCAACACACCTGACTCGCACGAACTGCGAACTAATTCAAGTTCAACACAAGTCTGGATACATTGTTAAGGTTAGGTGCTAAGCAGCAATTCTTCATAAAGCTAACTTCTCGGCCCCTACATACATTATCTAGAATAAAGCCCATTCTCTTAGCTAATACAACTTCACATCAAAGTATAGTTGGAATGATATCAAGTATGGACAAAAGAAGTGAAGGAATACATCAACTGTCTTTATTTCCAGCAGAAAAATTGCTACTGATCAAATGATATAAATAGAAACTAATAGTTGGGCTGAGAAATAAAGTTATGACCTCTATATGGCTAGTAAATTGCCTTAACCAACTAATGCAACTCGGGGGCTATTGTGTGTGAAGGCTAACCATTCTCGCTAGATACAGTAAGTTTCAAGCTCAACTATCAGAGTAAAATCTTCTCCCCACAAGAGGCGAGATCAATCCTACAATGAGTCCAAAGAACGGAGCTTGCCAATACCATAAGGCTCTTGGTGCGATCCCGAGCAAGGATTCTTCCAATGGAGACGCCCATACCAAAGAACCCTTCAAGGTAGCATGTTTGAAAGCACTCGGGCAGCGACAAGTCATCCGGAAAGGGGGGCAAGGACACTTATAAGTATAAGAGGTCATATATTCTCTAAATTGTATAGGGTCCGTAGGAGAGTCTACTAGGTTAGATAAAGACGCAGATTCTTTTACAAAAGTTCACTAATCAAAGCCTACTTTGCTTCTGCAGCAGGGAGTGAAAGCAGTGAGGTTTTTCAAAGAAAGAAAATTATCACTCATCAGAATTGTAATTAGAGGGCTATGGAGGTATCGGAATGTAGTTGCGGCGGAAATTTATATAGGTATTGGCACAGAAGATTTCACACGCATTGATAAAAAGATGAAGGGGCAGTTGTATATATATACACCCGACTCTTCTCTGTAGAAGGGACAATATTATAATATCGTCTGGATAATTACAGGAAGAGTCCATCAAAATCATATGTGATTAAAGAGTCATAATTTTGGGAGTTTAGGATATCTACATATTCATAATATTAATAGATATCTGCCCGGTAAGTTAAATTTTGAATCTAGAATAAATTCTGCAAGATTCACACCGTACGAACCTATCTCGAGGATTCTCTATATAGCAAGACCATCGTAGGTTGTGTGCAACGGTCTGCTTCTACTAGGTTAGTCCTCGATTTTTTTTCTCTGAGATAGAATACTTCCCAGGTCCCATGACTTCTCTCAAATCGGATATAACGTCAGGTAAGGACTAGACTCATTATATTCTATTTGCAATAATTGGGGAATAGACAGATCGAAGCTTTGTGTCAAGCCTACTAGGCGGGAAGTCTAGTATTAGAGTATATGGACACTATTGAGCTCTTGAATGGCAATTACATTACTAGGCCCCAGGTTTTATCCTTATTCTAGAGAGTTAATAGTGGCCACTCAATCATTGTTTCTGCCGTTTTCTAAGTTTTGCTTCCAGCCGTAGTTCCTACACTGAGACTTCCGAAAAGGGCAAGGGGAGAGAAAGGGGGTAATACAAAAGAAATGCGAAAAGACCCAATTCACAGACGCGCGAATAATCGTTTCCAAAGCCAGGTTTGAAATATATTCCGAGTTCAACAATATCTCTTGATCGGAGCCCGGCTTCTGAGATATAGCCAAGCCGGACATGTATGCTGATTGGCCAATGCTGGTCATGTCCCGACTATAAATACCACATACATATAATTGTCATGTCCGCATATGTGATTATGAGACTCAGATTATCTTTTTTTCGATTTACAGTTTTTTATGGTCTCCTAAAACGCCGACTAGAGTCATGCATCGTAATGTAACCCGGTATCTATTGACAACAAACAAACCGGCAAAGCTCTCAATCAAACTGACATTTTATTAGCGATAAGTCGAGGAGAGGTAAAAAAAGAGAATGAAGATAATAATATGAAGGGGGAATCTTACAGGGGTCAAGAATGACTCGGCAACAAAACGTGCTCTCGCGTTCAACTATGGTCCTTTGGTCAGCCCATGACGATATTATGCCGAAGGGGAGTAGAATGGGGCGTACAAATAGCTTCATCTCGGATATCTCCTTGTCGACCTCCTCCATGAACTGAATGATGAAGTCGACTAGCTTGTGCTTCAACATCTCCTCGGTGTGGAAGTTTGTTATTAGGAACGAGATGTCGTAACCCTGTGTCCAAGCGCGGTTAGCCTCCACGGGAGCTCCTAATCCCACTTCAGGGGGTAGCCATCACACCATACCTTGATGGGTTTCCGCCTCAGGATGAAGAAGGCCTCGGCTCGCTGGGTCAGGAAGCGAGTAAACTTGTGGACCAGGATGTTCTCGATCTCGTCGGCCTGCTTGATCTTGATGCTGATGCGTACGCTGTTGACGCTGGGCTCGATGAGGACCTTCTCGTTCTCGTTACGGGCGATGATCAGGGGGTTCAGCAGAACCTCGGGGGAGGTCTGGGCTTCGATCTCGGGGACATTGTGTCGTTCGGAGGTCTGGGAGGCGAAGTTGGAGAGACAAAGGGCGGCCGTGAGACTGCTCCGTACACACTGGAGATACGGGCGTAGGGATTGGGACTGCGGAATAGGGTCAGGCGGTGTTTTTGGGGGAGGCAATGAGCGGACATGGAATAATAACCTACCATATTGGAAAGAAATGGTCTGGGACGACCGAGCGCAAAGGTGGGAAAAGCACAAGGCGGGAGGAAGTTGTCTGGGGGAGGAGTTGAGATGGTTTGAAGCGATTCCCCCCAAAACAGCGGCCTAGAAGCTTTAGTAGTAGAGATAGGTAAGGTAAGGTTAGTGTACTGTAGTGCTAGATTACATACCTAAGTACACTGCTGCAGTGACACAGTCCACCTCCCATCCCTACCATAATGTGGGGGCAATTGGTAAGGTACATAGGTACTTCGATAACCTCTGCACTTGAACTTGATGTCTAGAAATGGGGCTGATACTTCGTAACACGTGACGTCAGACATGGATAGGTAGGTTACGCCACCTAAGTTGTGGCTTGTTTCGCGAATACATGAGAACCCCTCTGCCCCCCCCCTCAGGTTGGGTTCGACGGGCAGCAGACACCTGGCATCGGTAAACTAGGTAAACTAAACTTTATTAGAGTTTGATTCTAGGGGCCCTTATGTAACATAAGATGAGTTTATTAACCTAGGTTAGTAGTTTCAATTCAGTGTACTAGGATAGGTACCTTTAGTTGGAGAGTTAGCGGGAAATGGCAGCGATAAGATTGCCTGTTAGGTGACGCACGTCGTTTGCCTTGCAGCACCTGCACCAAATTTACAATCTACAACATTGAACCCACCATCAACCTTCTTAACCTCTTCCTCTTTTCTTCTTTTTTTTTTCTTTACTGCTTCGCCCTCTTCCACTCTCTACCCCCCCCCTCAACATCAACTCGAACCAGTCTTTAGTTACAAAATGGCGGCAATACCAAGTGAGAAGAAACCAAACCCCCTAACCCAAAATCCATAATCTTCGCCATGGCATAAAATACCTAACTATGTATCCCCCACTAACACATCTCTTGTTTAAAAAAATAGTTATTGTCAAGCACCAGGGCAAGAAGTACGAGGTCGAGGTCGATACCGAGACCACCGGCGAAGTCTTCAAGTTCCAGCTCTACAGTCTTACCGGAGTCGAACCCGAACGTCAGAAGGTTCTAGTCAAGGGTGGTCCCCTCAAAGATGACGCCCCCATGAGTAAATTCGGCTTCAAGCCAGGCCAGACCATCATGATGATGGGGACGCCAGGAAACGATGGCCAGGACGTTCTCACTCGACCGAAGGAGCAGATCAAGTTCGTCGAGGACATGACCGAGGCTGAAGCTGCACAGCAAGAGGGTGCCATCCCCTCTGGTTTGACCAACCTCGGCAATACTTGCTACCTAAACTCAACCCTCCAAACCCTACGTGCTATTCCCGAGCTCCAGGACGCCTTGATCAAATACGAGCCCCAGAGTGCGAGTGCTACCCGCACCATGCCCCAGCTCGACTTGACGAGACAGCTACGAGACCTGTATAAGTACATGTCCGAGACCCAGGACGCATTCACCCCTCATACTTTCTTGACCGCACTTCGAGGTGCTTTCCCGCAGTTCGCCGAGCGATCCCAAACCGGGGCTGGTTTTGCTCAGCAGGATGCCGAAGAGGCATGGTCTCAGATAGTCTCGCAGCTGCGACAGAAGCTACGTGTCAATGATGTATCTTTTATTGAAAAATACATGTCAGGAGAGTTCACGTCTGAGCTCGTGTGCAATGAGCCTGCGGCGAGGGAGGCTGGAGAGGAAACTATTCAGTCCAGCGAGGGATTCTTGAAACTCAACTGTCATATCAATGGCACTACAAATCATCTACGGGATGGTATCGCAAATGGCCTGAGTGAAAAGCTGGAGAAAAAGTCCGCGATTCTGGATAGGGATGTCGTCTACACCAAAACCTCCAAGATCTCCCGGTTACCTAAGTACCTGACGGTCCATTTCGTCCGCTTCTTCTGGAAGCGCGAAACTCAGAAGAAGGCCAAGATCATGCGGAAGGTGACCTTCCCTCATGAACTTGACATTGTTGAGTTCTGCGATGACAAGCTGAAGAAGGCACTCATCCCGGTCCGGGACAAGGTCCGCGAGATTCGCAAGGACGAGGAAGACATCGAGCGCGCGCGAAAGCGACGCAAGCGGTCTGGTGAGCAGGCGGAAGACGATGTCCCAGAGGCATCCGGCTCCAAGACATCGAAGAAGGATGAGCCGA